CTTTAACCCATAGGTTATTCTTTTCAGTGATAACTTTCCACCCAAGCTTAGCAAAATTTGCGTCACTCATCCATCTTAGGTTTTTTAGCCCAAGTCATTACTGTTTGCCCATAAGAAATTACTTTGGTGTCTATTGATCTCCTTTACATTTTCCAAAGGGATCTTGAAAGATCTCCTGATGAATTAGGACATAGAGCTAATTGTGGAATTGAGGAGGGTGACTCTCCCTGCAAGAGAGAGTACTTTTCTTCCACCCTGCAAGCTTGTTGCAGATTCTTTCCTTTAATTGGCCAAAAGTCTTCTTCGTCACCCTTTTAAAGATCATTGGAACCCCGAGGTAAGAACCTGAGTTTGTCTTGATGGGAATTCTAATACATCTAGAAAGGATTCTCTGTAATTTGTTGGGAATGTTCTTTGACAATCTCAAGACAGATTTTTCAAAATTTGGACACTAGTCAGATGCTAGCACAAACTGGTCTAGAATTTCTTTGATTTGGAAACAAGCAGGCATCGAAGTCCTCACAAAGATGATACAGTCATCGCCAAATTGAAGGATTGGGGTACAAGGTCCACTTTTTGAGACTCTACACCCAATTTGACTTTTGGGTTTGGTTGCTTCGTACTCTAACTTTTTAGAAAGAACTTCTACAAATAGCACAAAAATATAGGGAGGCAGAGGGTTCCCTTGTCATATCCCCCTAGTTAGGGTGAAACTTTTAGAAGGGGAACCATTGACGAAAATTTTGTATGAGACAGACTCGATACAAGCCATAGTCCAATCCATCCATCTCTTAGGGAATCCAAATTTTAGAAGTACTTTTTCAATGAAATCCCATTCCAGCCTATCATAAACTTTTTCCATATCCACTCTACAGGCCATAATTCCACTCCTTCCTTTTTTTCTTCTTCATTGAGTGGATAATCTCATGGGCTATTAGGATATTATCATTAATCTGCCTATTAGGGACAAAAGCGCTTTGAAACGGATATATTATACTATCCAGAAAAAGCTTAACCCTATTAACTAGAATCTTTGAGATAATTTTATAAATCACGTTGCACAAGCTTATGGGTCTATAATTATTAGTCGTCTCTGGATTTTTCGTTTTGGGAATCAAAACTACATTAAAAATAGAGTTCATTTTCCCTGAATGGGAGAAGGTTTTGACAGCTTTACATACCGACTCACCAATAATATGCCAAAACTTTTTGATAAAGAAGGCATTAAGGCCATCAGGCCCAGGAGCTTTCATGTCCTTAATGGACTTAACTGCCTCAAAAATTTCGGCTTCAGTTACTTGCTTAGTAATTTGATCATTTTGTTACATCAAAAAGCTAGGGCTAATACCCTCAATAAAGTCATCTATCCCACTAGTTCCTTCAGTTTTAAATCTATCTTCAAAATTCTTGAGAAAGACCTTAGTGACTCCACTTTGATCTTGGACCCAATCACCATTATCGTCTTTAATTCTATTAATCCTGTTTTTATTTCTTCTAATATCCACCATAGTATGGAAGAACTTATTATTCTTATCTCCCAAATTTATCCAATCAATTCTAGCTTTTTAGGCCCAAAAAATCTCCTCCTTTTTGAGGATATTCTCTAGCTGGATCTATAACGCTCTCTCCATATTCTTCGAGGGAATATCTTGAGGGTTATTTGCGATGATCCTTTAAGCTTCCCCAATCTTATGTAACAAGTCTTCTTTCTTTGTAAGAATGTTTTCGAAATGATTTTTATTCCAAGTTCTGAGCTCCTTTACCATATTATTTCTTTTTTTTTTATTAGTCACTACACCACATGGCCTCAAAATGGAAGGGCCTAGGGCCAGTAAGATTTAGACTCGCTGTGTCCAACAAAAGAGGGGAGTGATCAGAAGCAAGAAAGGGCATGTTTAATAAGTTAGCATCAGGGAATTCCCTCCTCCATAAATCATTAGAGAGAACCTAGTCTAAGCACTCCCAAGTGGTGTTGAAGTCACGAGTTTGATATGGGGTGACTTGCCTCCCCCCCCCCCCCCCCCCCAGCTTGTTCTCAGTCAATCTGTGTGTGTGTGTGTTACATCAGCACAGTTTGATCTCTGGTTTGACCTTAGTCGGACCTCTAACCCGTGAACCTCTGCCTTTGCCAGGTCAATGCCTAGTTTGGTTCTTTGAACATTGGAAGACAGAACCAAACCTACAGAACTCTCTGCCCTACCCTCAATTCCCCTCCAGTACATAGACCTGTTCACATGCCAGGTTTAAGACTCTACTCATAAACATTTCATTGCTTCAAGCTCAAGCTTCAGGTGGAGCCCATTCAAATTTTGATAAAAAGATCAACCGAAGCCTAGCCCATGAACCGGATTAATAGTATTTAATAGGGGTGAGCAAAGGGTAGGTTCTACCTTGAACAAAATGGAACCAACCTTGAACTAGCCTTGGACCAACCCTACCCAATATGTTACAAGGGTAGGGCTTGGTTCTAAATTCTTGGAACCAACCCCCACCCAGGCCAATTCTGGGGTCTAGGGATTTATCTTACCCAAACCGACCCAATGAACCAGCCTTGGTGGAGTTGACCTTATTGGAACTTGCCTTGGAACCAAACTTTCCTTTAAATAAACCCTAGAATACCTTTGGGAATGTGAAGATTTGAACCCAAGCATTCATGGTTATAAAGGCCATTGTCTCACTTGACCATTGAGTTACTTAAGTGATTTGATCATTTGTTTTCATTTTAATTTTTGAATGTGTACAATAAGTAGTATAAAAGTTAATATTTATAAAATTTAAATTTATTTTTTAAGTTTTTAACCATATAATGATAATCTACACATTATGTTATCCAATTTAATCAATAAAGAGTATATAAGTTTTGAACTATATATTATATTTATTAAAAATCAAGTTTTTAAAGAACATGCATTTTTTTTTTTTTTTTGTGAAGGGGGGAGAGTTAAAAAAGTACAAGTTTCATGGGGTAGACCCTGGAATCGACCTCAGAACCACTAAGGCCAGAAATGACCCTAGAACCAACCTTCACAGGGTAGGTTTCAGTTCCAAAAACTTGAAACCGACCCCTACAAGGTAGGTTCCAGGTTTTACCATGGAACCAAACCGAACCGGCCCATGCTCATCCCTAGTATTTAATGCATAAGGAAAAAGACTAGAACTCTGCATGCCCAATAGATTTCATTAGTTCATGTGTTGTCAATAATTACCATTTGCTACAACATGGTTTTAGGTTTAGACATATAGTGTTTAGTATCATTGATATGTCTACATGAAACATTTTGGTTTGATCAACACAAATTGATACACAATTGTTATTTAATGTTTAGGAAACCAGACCAAACTAGCCCGTCGGATTGGTTGAATTATCCTCAGGGCCCTAGATGGTTTGGTCACATTCCAATATCCATTTTCATTAAAAATCCAATGAAAACCAGCTGTCAGCCAATTAACCAAAAAACTGGTGAACCAGTTTCATGAAACCACCCAGATCATTAAATTAAATAATTGAAATTTTAAAACGTGTTTGACAAGACTTAAACCCATGACCTCTTATTTTCATGTATTGCGCAATTATGAATTACCATTAGTCTACCTCATACTTGCGTTATTTAATCATTATTTATTGTATATATTACTTTATTACACATATTTAAAAAATATATAAATTAAGAAACCTGAACCCTAATCATTTGCTTTAAAAATTAAAAATTTTGTCATCCATCCATTATATTTAGAAATATTAAAAGTTGTAAAATATATTATCTATAGTATTTATATGACCCATGGTATATATACATATATACCACAACATCACAGTTCAACCTCTAATTCGACCCCAGTTGAACCTCTAACCCATGAACCTCTTCATTCCCTGGTTCTATGCCCAATCTGATTCTCTGCAATACCTTAAAACCACATCCGCCCAAGGTTGTTACTATAAACATCAAATTGGTGTCTCTTGTCTCAAGGGGGTGAAGTTTAATCATTCTAGTTGAGGCAATCCTTACATGTGATGTGATGTGGCAATATATATCTTTCAACAATATGTATTGATCAACCCAAAATGTTTCATGTAGAAATAGCATTGGTACTAAACGAAACCTAAGATTGTGAAATCAATGCCTTTAATGCATAGCTATGGAGATATAAATAACACATCTTATCAAAACCGTCGATCATGGTTACCACGTCATAGCAAAAGTCAGCTCCGATTACCAACCGACCCATGTTACCAGTGTAATAGGAGCTCATAAAACACAAAAAGGCTGAGTTCGAAAGTGTAAATACAAATATGTTCAGTGCAAAACTTTGTATACAGCATTTTTTTTAAGCCTTGTATTTACACTTCACAAACTTCTTTTCTTAATATGAAGTTACATCATTGGGAGCACTCTTTCCAAACCGAGCCTATGGTACAGTGAAATAATTAAGACGCATGGTCATGGATGCAATAGAAAAGCCCACATAAATATTGACAATATATCAATAACACAAATGAAAGGCTCAATTGGCTAAAAATTTCACCAAATAAAATCGAATATAAATAAAATATAAACACTTGAAAAAAAATAAAAAGGCTTGCTTTTAACAATTCGTGCAAAATAATACATGAACAATGATAATTCACATTTGCATGCAAAAAGAATGTAAACCCATTACAATTTCTAAATTTACTTAAGTTATATAAATTGCTTACAATATACCAATTATTATGAATTAAGACAAAATCCATGAGGCCAGAAAGACACGTTTACCCGTTCATTGGTTACAAGTTATTCAGATGTATCATTTGGGTATCATAGTCGAACCCTATAAACTAATACGCATAAATATAAAGGTATACTGAACTTTAAAATTCTATTTATATTACGTATTGGCCGTAGGTCCATATCAGTCGATGGTTGTATCATAACCCCCAAGAAAAGAAAAACAGAATAATTAATGCCCAATGTTGGCCCCAGGCCCCAAGCTATCTGGAGTGTTGGGAGAGGTAGACTAGATTGGTGCCTAACCTTCGTTTTCTCTTTATTTCTATCAACTGTCAGCGGACACAAATCAGCATTGTCCCACACACACTTGTCAGCTCAAGATTTTACCACTACAAACAATGTCTCCCTCCCAAAAGAAGGATAGATATGCACCCGTTCTTTGGCTGAACCGATGAACGCAAAATAATCCATCAAACAAATTTTCTAAAAAATCTGGAGTAAAAGAAAAGGTTCAGTAGGACTTGTCCCCCATACGGAAATGACACAATATTAATAGCCCCTTTTTGTAGCTTTTATTTTTAAAGAAATGGAGAGCCCACCTCCAAGAAAGGAAGGAGATGATCAATTCGGGCCTAAAAACAAGAGAAACTGAAAAACTCCTGGTTGCATCAGCATAACAAATGAGGGTTTCAGAGGCTGTCGAAGTTGATAGGTTCCCGTAGGAACCGCTCCATCTGCCTTGCCCTGGTCTTTATCGACATGTCGAAAACCTTTTGACCAAATTCCACGACCAGTCCACCAAGAATGCTAGGATCAATCTGGCAGATATTTAGTGTTAGAATCATGTTTGTTTCAGCTGTAAACAAAAAGAACGAACATGAAATTGGCAAGCAATGTCTGTGTTTTCATGGAGGTGGGAAACAAACACAGAAATGAAGAGTCAAGAGCGATGAGTAACATTTAACGTGCCATATAGTAGAGGGCAATAGAGTAAAACAAATCCACGAGAAAAAAAATTACATCAAAATACAGTATTAATGTGCAAAAATCTCGAGAAAAATCAATGGTTATACTACTACTATAAATTGGTTTGACACCAGAGTCCTTGAGAAACCAGGATGTAACTAATGACTTCTACTAGCCACGTTCACTCTGCCACACATTGGGAACATTCCTTGTAATATCACCAATATTTTTTTTTTGATCAATAACACTTTCATTAATTCATCAGTAGAAAATTTACAAGTGGAAGACAAACACACTTATCTTCCAAGAGTCATAAAGAACTTCAAGAAAGGAAAAAAGAAAATACAAGGATACAAATACACTAACGTTACAGCTTAGCCCAAAACAAAGAATCCMTTTCTGCCCCTTGTTTTGCTAAACCGTCAGCTAGGGAATTAGCTGACCTTTTAATCCAACACGTCTTAACTTCCATCTCCCGCACCAGCCATTTGAATTTCCTCTTCTCATTATTATACTTCCATATATCATTTTGATCTTTAGTCAGCCACCCTATCACCACCTCTGAATCCCCTTCAATTATAAGTTTCTTGATGTTCAATTCCTTAGCTTTCCGGGCTCCTTCCATAACTGCACATATCTCAGCTCTAAGGGAGTCACCCACTCCAATTGGRCCTGAGAACATAGCAGAGATGACCCCATTATCATCTCTAAAAACACCCCCGATCCCCGATTGTCCCGGGTTTCCCCTACTGCATCCATCAAAGTATAATTTCAAGAATCCACTAGGTGGGGGGGTCCAAGCCACACTCATTACTGACTTGATTTGCGTGCAACTTGCAATTTCACCCCACCTCCTCAACATGTCATCCACAGTGTAATCTGTGAACATTTCCAAAGATTTCAGCCACTGTACCGCCCTTCCCAATGTGGGTGGTGAACGTGGCCAGTAATGTGTTTGTTGTCTGCAGATTCAGACTCAACTAATTGCATGTGTTTGTTTGTTTGTCACCTCTGTATTCTCATGATAAATTTAGCATTGTTATTTCCAACTATCTGGATAACCGAGTACAATTTTTGTCTAAAAGAGCGCCTCCAGATTGGTCTCCAGAAAACTTGAATAGAAAGTGACCATCAGAGCACTGATTCACCTCTCTAGTATAACCACAAAATCCCCAGTCATGACAATCTAGTATCAATGTGATGCCAGATGGGTTTAAGAAAGTGATCACAAAGTCTCCAAAAGAAAAAATAAAATAAAAGAAGACGAAGAAAACTTGGATGCAGTAACTCAACATCTGGGCAGATTTTGGAGATTCAATCTCTCAAACCAACCCTTGGATTGAGATGAATTATATAGAAGGAGCCCTTAAAATCTTAGGCTAATCAGATAAAGGCCTACATCAAGTGGACTTTCAATTGCTGGAAAATGTAAGCTGCAGATTTTGGTCAATATTCAAGTGGACCCCACACTTTGACTTGTCCAAGGGTGTAGCATCATTGGTAGAGAATCTTAGTTGAGAGAGTGGTGTCCAATTTTTTGTTTTTTCTTTAAAGAACCATTGTGTAAGGGTATATTTGGGAATTCGATTGTTAAATTTTGGTATCAAATGGGAGTGTGAGACGTCCAGGTTAAGTTTTCTACAAATTAACAATTCACAGTAAAAGACTAAATTACTATTTATAGCAACTTTCAGACTTATCATTTATTGGATGAATTTCAGACTTATCATTTTCTTTTGAGATTCACTATTTAGGCAATAAATATTGAAACATTTAGGCTGAGTTTATTTATTTATTTGATTTAGGACAATAAATTAGATTTGATTTGTGATGAATAACCCACTTTATCTAGAAGAATGGATCCCATGCCAATGTAACATATTTAAAGCCCTTATGCTGGGTTTTTTATTAGAGTTGTAAAACTATGATTTGATTTTTTGTTAAGGTTTTGACTGATACCAATACATGATACTGGAAATCTTATAACCAATCAACCAGTATCATTTAAGTGGTAACCAATCAGGTGGTATTCATCATAGATTTATCCTTCTATTAAAGATATGAATTAACTTTCCAACTTGAGTTAGGAAACAACATAATTTCAGTTAGAGTGAGGAGGCCCATGCCCTTAATATATTTATATTAGATTCCCCTAGTAACTATTTATAGCAAATCATGACTTCATATTTTAGTAATTTCAAGTATCTTCTGGTAGGGGTTATGGTCTAAATAGAAGTCCTAGTGCTACTCTAAGATGTTCTATATATTTTTTGGACTATATTTTGTATACACAATTTTGGCATTATCATCAGAAATTCAGAATCTCAATAAAGCCCAAGTTGGTTTCCTTACAGTGGAAGGAGTTTTATCGTCTTTCCTCCATAGCTTATGTTAATGAGTGATTATTCTTCATTGCTTAAACCAATATTCCTCACATGATTGCTGCTAAGTTCTTGCAGTTTAGAGGAGCTTTTTTTATCAGTAACTGAAACATTTCATTAATTATCATGAAAATTGCCACAAACACACACATTCAGCTGTACAGGGAATAAATGAGCCTCAAAAAAAAGAGAAAGACACCATTCCATATGCAGTATGTACCTTCTGTTCCAGCTTCACTGTCTTCCCCTGCCCAATAATATCCTGCAGTGTCTCCTTCAGTTCTTTCTCCTCTTGCGGGGGAAGGGGCTGTAGGAAAAGAGTTAACCAACTGAGAAGATAGCTTTAAAATGATTTGCAACTAACTAGCACCATGACACATAAGATAATAATCGAAAAACAATAAACAAGGACCAAAGAAAAATCTTCAACTTTTCACCAAAAAAATAAAAGACAATTACAACTAAAAAGTCCCATAAAGCAATCAGTAACCAACTTCTACATTCTGTGAGGATTGAACTTGGCATATGTAAAAAGAAAAAGACCCAAAAGTCCATTACCCAATGCTAGTCTGGACTGTCCAATATTTTTTGCATGAAATGACCACTCTCAGATGCAAACCCGTATGCTCACTTTTGTCAGCCTGGGGCTTTACAACTACACCAAGCAATGGTCCCTCAAGTAGAAAATTTGCATGAAATGACCACTCTCAGATTCAAACCCGTATGCTCATTTTTGTCAGCCTGGGGTTTTACAACTACACCAAGCAATGGTCCCTCAAGTAGAAAATTGAACATGTCTTCCAAAGGCCAAAAAGACAAATGACGAAAAAGATCTAGAACAGCCAATTACAGAAACACATAAGAGGCTTCATATGCTCCAAGGTTGATCAGGCGACATAATTTATCTTTTAAACAATAGAGAACTGTAGGCCACTGTTTTAGAAGGCATGGGAGGCACACACCTTAAGAGAAGGCTTAATAAGCTTAAAAGCATAAATAGTGATGCTTGCATGGACTCTCTCCTAAGTGGATGAACTGTCCTTGTCAGACACGGATCACATTCTGACACTATGGATTCTTGATGAGCACTTCAAACATAACATTTTCCTTTAGCTACTTGCCAATTTGACATAAATGAATAGCTAATAGATATAATAAATGTCATTTTTTAGAAATCATTACTAAATAACAAAGATTAAGTACCTTTTATTTAAAGGCATACAATGTTAAAATTCAAAAAAAAAAAATTATGAACCATGTTAATAGTTTATACTTTTCTATGGATGTGTATATGAATCCTTTTTTTTTTTCGTCTTGCTCAATCAGATTCATCAGATTATAATTTTCATGTCTATGTCCATGCAACACTGAGCATGATGCACATACTAAACATTTTGAAATGTTCTATGTCAAGTAAATGTTTTCCGTGCATTAAAAGAAACAAAGTACTCATCAAAAGAATGAGTTAAAGATCAATTCCAAGACTTCCAGGTATATATTTTTCATTTTTGTGAGTACTTAGGTTTTATAACACTAAGTTTAGGTTTTGATTTTCATAAAGTACTTCATAATTGTTCAAATAGATTTCTGAGAAGGCTCTTACTATGCATTTTTTATAAAATTAATCCTTTAAGACATGGTTCTGCAGTTATTCTCAATTTACCTCATGTTTTTTCTTGAAACAATGAGATTTTATCAGTGTGCAAGGGCCTGCAAGGCACAAGGCAAGGTGCACGCCTTTTAGAAGCAAGGCACAAAATTACAAAACAAAATGCTAAAAAATAAAAAAAAAATGTCAGAAAATTCAAGAAAAAATGCCAAAAAATTTTAAAAAATACAAAAATATTAAACATAATGTTAATAAAAAATAAATTCTTAAAAGGCAATTAAAGTTATAAAATCATTAACTCTTATATGAGAAATAAGAACTTAAGACCCTAACATATTGCATAGAATCAAGAATGCAATATGCTTTACATCACATTAGCTACTTGAAGTAATGCAATTGAGGAAAAAAAGAGATTGTGGGTCTTACATGCTTGAAAATGCTTTATACATTTGCTTTTATTTTTAAATTTTCATTTGAATACGCTTTACATGTTATGTTTATGTATTTTAATTTTAGATAATAGGTTTTTTAAAACATTTATTTTAAAATTTAAGTTCATTTGAATACGCGTACAGAAACCCTGGCCCAGTCATTAGGCTCAAAAAGAAAAACAAAAAGCACAGAATTTTAAAAAAGCGCACACCTAGGCTGAGGCACAAGGCTTGAAAGGGGTACACCTAGGACCTGGGCAAGGCACATACCCTAAAATGTATTTTAATTTTAGATAATAGGTTTTTTAAAACATTTATTTTAAAATTTAAGTTCATTTGAATACGCGTACAGAAACCCTGGCCCAGCCGTTAGGCTCAAAAAGAAAAACAAAAAGCACAGAATTTTAAAAAGGCGCACACCTAGGCTGAGGCGCAAGGCTTGAAAGGGGTACACCTAGGACCTGGGCAAGGCACATACCCTAAGGTACAACTCCTACCTTGAGGCTCATGCCTCACAAGTTAGAAGATCATAGTGCCTCACTCATGCCTCCACATTTTAGAACATTACAGCAGGTACAACTCATCAAGAATGTCAAATTTTAAATGAAAATTCCCAAGGCCTTCAGGTATAGGGAGAGTATTCAGAGATGGAGATGGGAGAATTGTTGCTATGTTTTCTGGCCAATAAGGGTGGGAGACTCATTGCGAGCAGAAGTGATGGCTCTGCTTCAAGGTGTAAAATATGCCAAGCAATTGGGATTACACCAAGTGGAGATAGAAGGAGATTCTAAATTGTTAATGGACTGGCTGCAATCAGGCAAGTTGGGAGCATGGATGTATCAACAGCCCATACAGGAAATTCTCAATATAACAAGGGAGCTTGATGCAGGCTTCAAGTTGAAAAGAAGATCAGCTAGTAGTCTGGCTGATACCTTAGCCAAACAAGGGACAGTGAGGGAAAGTTTGTTCTAGGCAGTTCTGTAATTCGAATTACTTGGGCCCAACTCCTATCTTAGGAGTTGACAATTGTATCTTAATTTTACAGCAATGAAGTTACCGTTTCCAATCAAAAAAAAAAATTAAATGGAAATTTATCAGAGAAGGAGCTGATTGGATTATCTATGTAAAACCACATAAGCACATGCCTACAATAAGAGAGACTACTGGATTTCTTACTTCATTTGGCAGCTACTTCACCTATAATGTAAAGCCAGTGACCAGTCAACCACTTTGCCTAGCTGTCTAAGGAAATAAACATTACAGACACAAGATTGTACCAATCAAAAAAAAAAAAAAAACAGATGCATGAGTGTTTCCTGTAATAACAATACATGAGCATAATAAGAAAATGTTTCATTTCAGTCATTTGAAAGAACCACAAGAAGAGACCTGAGTATGCACATATTGGCAATTTAAGATTGGAAACTGGCCCCAGAACAAGCATACTGAACCTAGCACCTAAATCCAGCTAGGCATGTAGGTGGTAAATTTTGTAACCATGCTACTATTATGAAGCAATATCTTTTTTTATTACGGTGCAAGATAGACATCACAGGGAGTAGGGCTTACAATGACAGTCGTCACAATGGCTCTCACTTCTTTTCTATGTGCCATGGTCAATTCCACAAATCTCTTTGCAATATTCTCGATGTGCTTTAACCTTCCATTCTCAGCCAAAACAGCTGGTTCAAATAAAACCAAAATAAACATGGATAGTCAAATATGAAAGAAATATGAGCAAGGTATTCATAAATTGTGCTTCCAAGATAAGGCAAGACACAAACAGATCAAATAAAACACCAACCATTAAATATAGATTTTCAATGTTCAAACTAGTACAAGACAAATTCTACTCCAATGAATAATAAGTTTTACCAAAGAAATTAAGAAATATGTGGAAGAAATTGGCTATCAAAGAGAACAGGAAATTTTTCTACATTGAAAAAAATAGGTGCAAATTAAGTATGTAAATGGATGTTTGCAAAATAAAAATTGAATTTTAGAAAGAAAGAGTAAACATCTAAAAGGAAAAAATGTGCAAAATATCAATGTTTCATGAAAGCACATTTTAAGCATTAAAAAGTTGCTGCAGAAAATTAAGCAATTGCATATTGAAAAGGAAAATAAATAATAATGGATGTAACCAACTCAAATGTAAATAACAAGAAATTAAATTCGTAAATGACTGCAAGAATACAGATCCAACACAAGTGTATTGGTCCCTTATCAAAATATCCATAGATCTCTCTGCATTTCTGCATATGAAGGCATGTTTAGAAAAGAGTTCTCCATACAAAAACCTAATCGTAGACATACATGTTTCATCCTCAGGTTTTATAAGAACAATTTCTAGATTTTTTACGAGTGAATTAAACATACCCAGAAAATTTTTTGTGATATCTGAAACTTTAGCTTCAGCACAAATTTCATTTATTGCCTTTACTCTTGTCTCTGCAGGCACTGATAAATCCTTTATGAACTGAGAAAACGTAGGACTTTTCTTGGAAGCTTCCACAAGGTCAAGAATCTCAGACTCAACCTTGTCCAATGAATTAGCTTTTACTGCTGAGAGGTACAAGGCAGACGCATAGTTTCCGGAAACTCCAAACATAGCAAGAGGCACCTGAAGTGTTCCAAAGAACCAAAACAGAAACCCATAAGAATCAGATAACAACATAAACATACAAAGAAGCTGTTGAAAAAATAAAGGAACTCTGCAACTAGACAGTGATAAATGGGCCAAATGCAAGTATTAAAATCACAAGTACAGGATATAGTTGAAGTGCAATATCAAAATGTAGGACCATAGGAATTCAGGGGGTAATTGACTTAGATGTTGGAGGAAGAAATTTTTCTATAGTACCCCACCAAGCTTACAATCAATCAGTGTCTGGCTCAAAATAAATTCTGCAATTTTGTCATAAATAAATAAGTTCTGCATTTGAAAACTGGATTAGACTGGTTTCTCATTTCTCCGAGACTTTTTACTGAATTCATAAAATGGGCTGGCTGTTCTGAAAGAATTTCAGGGACAAGAATATCCAACATTAAGTTTGAGAGGAATGGGATTCCTGGCAGTGGCACAAAGAGCAGATCAGGAACCACATCGAAATTTTGGAAAATCTGGGGATCTGGGGAAAAAAAACTAACGTTATAATAAAGTTTCAATGTGGAACATAGATAAAACAGTTATAATTTAAAACTAAAATCCTCTATGTTGTAAGGTGAAAATACCCAGAAAAAAAAAAAATTAGCACTTATTTTCTTTATATTTCTTTAGCGAAGCTTTCCTGACATGAAAAGAATCCACTCTGCACTTCCACAGTAACAAATCACAAAATGCTGAAAACTAAATGTGGCACTAGATCACCAAGTCAAGTTGTGGAAAAAAAAAAAAGAAGGAAAACCCAATGTACCCACAAGCAGTAAAAAAAGATGTGAAAGATAACTCATTCAGGTTAAATTAAATAGTAAAGCATAAGGGTTGTGTTCAAAGCAAAGTAAAACTCTATATCATGCTTAAATTCTACAACATAACCACATCACGGGCACACTATGAAGTAACAAACTTTATGTAATGAAAGCACTTCCATTTTGCAGATATTACCAATTCATGTGAGTACTAAGTAGGAATGTCGTCAAATCTATTCTACCTTTGTCTTTGATTCCTTTGGCTGTGATGCAGTCGCATAATTCCTCAGAAACTGCAATCAGAGAATCCAATAGTTAGATAACAGCTAGACAAAGAAACCTGATTAACAGGTATTAAAAAATATTGTAATGAGCTGATACTACTTTGGTTTTTGATATATCATCACCCAATGGTACACTAGCCTCTTGATCCGGTTGGGACCTTTTCTTTTCAGGCGGGGGCTTGAGGTCCTTCAAAGAAGAAGACCAAACTACAAACTGATATATTTGTCCTCATATTTGCATATTGTGCAATGGAAAGTGCTTACTATTTCCTGCCATTTTGTCTCTAGCAGATTCTACAGATATGTAAGAGAGCAGCAGTATTGTGGGCTGTTTAGAAAGAGGAAAGTGCTAGAACATTCAAATAACAGAACCACAACAAAGAAGATTTCAATGGTAACATATTGGTGAAAGTGGTAGACTATGTAAAATCATGAAGTCCTTTTAGTCTTATCTCCTCGAATGACACAGTGACAGGATAGCTAAAAGGAATATGATCACTATCAATTCGAGTCTTCCATCTATAAACATCAAAAAAGAAATTACAATTCATCGATGTAGTATGGGAAATCCAAGCAACCTAGGCATTTGTGGGTCTTTTAGAGATAACATTGTAACTGGTTGTACGGTTGAGGATGCTTGATTTCTATCCCCCCCCCCCAAGTTAGAGATATAATTCAACTAGAGCTGAGTTATTAGCCTCTGAGAAGGATTAAGATTGAGTATGTCTCTAAATCGTAGCAACATTGTAGTGCAAGGAAACTCACACAGGCCAGGAACATTGCAACATAGACACGTTCTGAGAGAAGAAGATTGTCCGGGGAACTCCATTCATATGGACTAGGCAAACACAGTCTCCAACTCGGGAGTTATGGTAAAACTGATTGTAAAATTATACCATGGTTTTAGGTAAGAAGGGCTACCCTAAGGTTTAAGGGGTGCTAAGCATATTCATCGTGTACAATACTTATATTCTTTTGACACAATTTAACAAGACTTCACTGTTATCAATCAAAAAATAGATAAAATACCTACACGTACGTTAAGCATATGATGAGCTCAATAAACAAGATAATAAATCCTATGAACATAAAGCGCTATGTAATCAAACTATTTAAACCATTATTTTCTAAACTAAAACCATTGTATGTAGGGGTTTCCTCAAAATGCCCAGCAGAGGAAACCTAAATTTCAACAATGTAATAAAAAATTCCAATGAATATTTATAAACGGGTTGTTAATGCCACACAAAGATTAACGTCTTCAGACTTTTATTCACCGATTCAGAAGGAGAACTCGTCAGATTCTGGACAGATGTTTCTAACAGAATACTACCAAAGAATACAAAAACTTGAATTGAAACCAAAATAATGAATCACACAATTGTAATTAACACTATAAAGGAGAATAGAAAGTCAAGTCTTTATTCTTCGATAATCTTAAATCGGTTAAATCAATAGACCAGTCTACGAAATTTAGTTCAATCACAACCACAAGAACGTGGAATCGCATGATCCAACGAACAAAACAGGAAATCTTCGAAAAAGTAAAAAAGGGGAAAAAGAAAAACCTCTGAAGTTGCAAAACTAGGAGCGGCTCTCTGCGCCGAAACGGGCTCAGCTCTAAGAATCCTTTGCGCGAGAGAGAGGCTCGATCTCAAGCGTCCTGCCAACGCCATCGAAACCTAGTCTTGGAACAGAAATGTGGAGAGACGAGGGAGAGGTTAGGCTGGAAATCGAAGAGAAGACAGAGCGAGAGAAGGGAACCCTTGCGAAGGTTTCTTTTTCTCTTGCCTGTCGCATCTGGTTATAATAATACCTCTTGCGTTCCTAAAATTTACTGTTTGTACCCTCGCGTTTGTGGGGTTACCATGTTAAACCTCAGATGGATTGGATCGGGTTGCAATCCAACCCAGGCCCAACCTTGGATCTAGAAACGCCAACCAGGTCCAGCCCGGCCTAACACAAGTTGATCAATGGTGATGCATTGTTTCTAGGGGTACAAGTTGGGCGGGCTGAGATGAGTTTAAGTTCAACCCAGGCCCAATCTTAAGAATTGTGCTTTAAGGCCCGAATTGTCTAATTCAGGCCCAGCCCGAGTTGAAATTTAAGGCACTCAGATTAGGTTTGGGGCCAGGTCAGATTCGGGTGGGCCAATCAGACCATATTAAATTAATACAAATGTATATATATATATATATATATCCATGTATACATATATGTATAATTTATCAAAAGAAGTGCATTTATGTATATACATAGGTGAATCTGGCTTGGGTTAGGACACGATAGGGCCAGACTAGCACTGGATTTGGGCTATCTAAGGACTAGGCCTGGATCTGGCCCAAAATTCTGGGCTTAAGCCCAACCTGGGGCCCTAAAATTTAAGTCTAGACCGTGTAGAATTGTCGGCTGAGTCGGTTTGGGCTTGGGTTGGACCTGCCCAAATTTGCACCCCTATTGATTTCTTCATGAGTTGAGAACAAGAGCTCATTTGATTCAAGAACCGAAAATTTGAGAGCATTCTTTTGAAAGGCAAGCAATTCATGTAGCTGTCACGTACGGATCATTGGCAAGCCATTCATGTGGCCCGATCTGGCCTAAGACTTGGCCCGTGGATCAGCCCAGCTCGTGGTACAGCACAGGGCCATGCAGGCTCGGGCCGTATATTATATACAATAATTACATAATACATTAATATTTATAATTTTATTATATTATTCATTTTATTATTGCATATATAAACAATTGTATACATCAAAATTCATATAAAAAAAAGTTTAAGATCTTTCTTTTAATTTTTTATCTAGTTTTTAATTTATGTTTAATTTTTCATTTTTTTCACTTTTTAAAAAACATGGATTAGTCCGATTCATGGCCCAGCCTGGCCTAAAACTTGGCTTGTGAACCAATCCGCCCTGTGGCACGACACAGGCCTATGTGGGCTTGGGCCGACCCCTAAAGTATCCCAAGAGAGGGAAGCACGAATCACAAGGCACAACCCAACATATCTTTAACAAATATAAAAAATGTAGAAATTTAGTGGCATCATTGTAAATAATTAGGAGTAGCACCATTGTAAATGATTATATGTTTAGTATCAAATATGAAAGAGGAAAAGGAAAAAGGACAAGTTATGATTGTTATTTTATTCAATGGCATCACTGTAATTAATTAAATTTGTAATGGTAATGGTTAAAAGCATGAAAAGAAAAAGATTACAAGATTTTATTTAAGTTTCATAAAAATAAAATCCAATTGGAAAATACACACCAATCGGCATTTTGCTTTTATGTTATATATAGATGCATCTATTATGCTGTTCGATAACTTCTTATCAACTAAATGGTTTTAGACCTAACATTATCTCAACAAGTAATCCAACCACTACAAAGCTTATAAGCCCCACATATATAGAACATATTACAATTTTTCACATGTATTATTTTATGTTTTTTAATTTATATCTTGGAAAATGTTCTAAGTGTATCCTTTTGTATTTTTAAAGAAAAAACACTTTGATATGTTTTATGTTAAAATAATTTAAAAATATTATTCTTTTCTTCTAAAGGATAATTACATCACTTAGTACTTAAAAGAGCACATATAGTTTTCACTTTCAGAATATATACCTTTCTATTTTTTCACAAAATGAGCAATTTCACTTGTATTACTTCATTGCAGATATCTGTACAGTAGCAAACTGACTAGGATTGTAGTTTATGACCATTTGTCCTTTACAAGCAAAATAAGTCAGTGCATGAGCAGCTCTATTTAGGCTTCTATTTACATGAACAAAAAGTGTCTTAGCAAAAAGTGATATAAGCTTTTTGAGCTTTGGCCAATGGAGTTGCTCGATCCATTTAGAGGGTGCTTCTTTGCTACTCAGAAAATGTACTAACTTCTCAAAGTCACTGTATATATATGTCATGGTTAGTTAAAGTAGAAGTTGCTTCAAGACCCGCTATTAAAGCTTTTATCTCTAAATCATAGCTTGAAACCGCCCAGCATGGCCTCCCTTCAACAATGGTTTAACCTATTGTTTGTTTGAAGATGAAACTTCTTCCTGTAGTTCCTGTTAAAGGGTCAAAAGATCCATTAACCTGTAACACATTTTGCGTGAGATTCAAGCTAGAGGGAGCAGCAATACATGTATTGTTGTTTTGCATGGAGGTGTCAAGTTAATAGCTTCGCAAGTTGTTCAGTAGTTCAAGGGAGCTCATCAGAGTATTCTTAAACACTAGGTTGTTTCGAGCCCTCCAAATCAGATATAGAGTTATGCTGACTGTACAAAAAACAATGGATACCATGGTGGAGTTGAAAATCTTTTTATCGCCCTTAACCAACTCAGAATGATTTCATGGGGTGGTTTCTCTTTGATTTTGTCTGGATTGAGGCCCAAGAGATTTTGAAGCCATACTGCTCGCACAAAAGGACATGTGAARAATAGGTGTTTAAATGTTTCTTTGGTTTGCTAACAGAAGGAGCAAGTTAGTTCTTCTGGTTGCAGCCATGAAGAGCACTTGTCTTTGGTTAACAGTCCTTCCCATAAGAACTTCCACATGAAGATTTTCACTCATGGAAGGAGATTTTGTTTCCATAGAAACTTCCAATCGAAGAAGGCCAAGGATCCTGAAACAAAGGATGCTGTTAGATTTCTGTACATGGAGCTCACAGAGAAGGTTCCCTTTGAGGCTTTCAACCATATTGGGGTGTCGAACTCCAAGTAGAGATTTGGATTTATTTCCTTGACATGTGGAATGTGACTAGCCTCCAATCTATCTTCAAGAGACAGTCGGTTCCATGAACAATCACTATTTAGTAATTTTGCTACTCTAAGATCCATATGGTGTAAGGAGCCATTACTGATTGGCATTGGGGTTCTTCTTATTAAAGTAGGAACCCAAGGATCAGTGAAGACCTCTATCGATAGCATGTTTTCCTTCAATTATGGAATAATTTTCTGAACTTGGTTCCACTAGAAGGAGTTGTTTTGCTTTGTTCTAGCTTTGAGTAGGCTTGTACTTGGAAAGTATTTTCCCTTGATAGCTTGGCTCCAAAGAGAATTTRGAGATTGTAGCAGCCTCCATACCTATTACTAAAGAGTGCTTTATTCATCTAATAGAGTTTCCTGAGTCCTAATCCTCCTTGGTCTTTTGGTGAGCATAACTTTGACCAAGCTATCGAGTGTTTTCTCTTTGTATTCGAGTTACTCCACCAGTAGTCCTGAAGGAGTTTCTCTAGTGTGTTATGAATTGTTTTTGGCAATACTGTGGTCAACATAGGGTAGACTGGCACTACTTGTGCCACTATTTTTATTAAAGTGGTATTACCAGCTTATGAGAGAAGTTTTGAGCTCCACAAGTTTACTTTTTATTTGACTTTTTCTACCAGTTCTTGGTGAGAGGAGATTTTTTTGTCCTTTGTACCAACCAATCTTTAACCCCAAGTATTTTGAGCCAACCATAAGTTTTCTGACTTGTAGGACTGCAAAGATGAATTTTTGGTGGTGTCTTGCTGCTAAACATGATAGATGATCTTCCATGATTTATATTCTGATCAGATAGTAACTCGAAAGTTTTGAGGGTGTCTGCCAGAGTTTTAACTTGTGATACTTCTACTTGGCAAAAGAGAACTACATCATATGCAAATAGCAGATGTATAATTTCAGGCCCAATTCTACTCAGTTTTATGCCTTTAAGTTCTCCATTCATGTTTGCTTGGTTCAGAAGCCAGCTGAGAACTTCCATGCTAGTGATGAAGAGATAGGGTGACAGAGGATCTCCTTGTTGTAGTCCTCTACGCAGAGAGAAATTTTCAAAGGCTTCCCCTCCAATTTTAATAGAGTAGGTGAGGGTGGAGATGCATTGATTTATGAGATTACACCATTTTGCTAGGAAATTTATTTTTCCCAAAACTGCCAACCCATTATGTCAAAAGTCTTTGACATGTCAATCTTGACTGCCACATAACCTTTTTCTTTTTTTTGTGTCCTCAAGAGATGGGTGACTTCCTTCACTAAGAGTATGTTATCTGTTATTTGCCTATTTTTGAGAAAACCCGCTTGGGTTGGTGATATGAGGTCTTGTAGTAACAACTACATCTTGTTTACCATCTACTTAGAGATGATCTTGTAGATGACATCACATAAACTGATTGACTTGTAATGAGCCACATTTGATGGAGCATTGATTTTTGGTATGAAGACTAGATTTGTGTTGTTTAGTTCCAGTACTTTTGATAAAAATAAGCTGAAGCCATTGGGGCCTGGAGCTTTGTGCGGGTGTAGTTGTGGCACTATGCTGTGAATTTCCTCCATTGTAGGCTCTTATAATAGGGATTCTATCTAATGTGGTTTTAGGCATGGGAGTGACAAATGACTTAAGAAGTTGGTATCAAAATTTTTTGGTATGTCCCCTGTTTGTAGTATGGATTGTAGAAGAAGTTTAGAGATGCTCTTTTTCTCATGCACCCATGTCCCAGCTAATTTTTGTAGCCATAGGTTTATATTCTTTAAGTATTTTCGTTTTGCTGATTGATGGAAGAATTTTGTGTTTTTGTCTCCATCTCTAAGCCAGAGCTCTCTAGATTTTAGTCTCCACAATTGTTTTTCTTTTTAGAGCCAGTAGTGATATTGGTTCTTCAGAGAATTTAGCTCATCCATTTGTTCAGTAGAGTTGTATGACATTTGAAAATTTGATATTTTGAGAGCTATCTTTTGTAGATGATATCTGATGTTTCCAAAACTCTCTTTGTTCCATTGTTTCAGGGTCTTTTTTTATTCTTTGAGT